GCCACGTTCTCCTCTATTTCGCGATACCCGCTCGAATCTATACTCGAGCCAGGTTGGCCACGTCGCCAACCCTTAACAACGGTCGTTCTCGTGGCGCTTTTATCCGGATACCGGGTCCTTGAATTCCTAGGTCGAAGCGCGACGCGGATGCAACGTACCCCACCCAGCCACTCATTTTACCCACCCATCTATTTCCACCCCGTCGTCGACGCGGATGGAATCTCAAAGGTGAAAACTGCACGTTGTAAAATCCATTTTTATTTGTACCATTTTTTTTTAACTCCTTCTCTCCCTTCGTACTTTTATCTCCTCGCCCATCGATCTCCCTCCCATCCCACAGCCGATCGTTTCGACAGAGGCACTCGCGCGAACTGCAATTATCTCGCTGCATCCAGAATCGATGCGGAGCAGAGTGTGAGCGACAGGTCGCGTGCTCAAAAACAAACAAAAAAAAAAAAAAAAAACATACCGAATGTAACTTTGGGATTAATCTGGGACAAAGTTCCGGTCCAACAGAGTCCTAAACAAATTTTCAGGCGATTTCAATCTAAATTGCAGAATAAAACCTTCTCTTTGTTGAATCGTAACAATTTTTGTTTTCCATCTAAATGGAAAGGCACGTACTACTACCGCGCAAACACTTCACACGGGAAGGACACACGTAAGAATATAATTACGCGAGAGTTTGATAATGGCGGGCATTAATATCGCGAAAGGATACTCCGTTTTAAGCTCCGCGCGCGCGCGCGCGTGGCAGGATCGGTTGCCCTCTAAGTCGTCTCATTGTGAAGAGTATCTCGTAGGAATGGAGTTTGCACCGCAGTGTGCCGATCTAATTCGAGTGCTCTTGTAAAGAACTTTTGGATATATAGTCGCGCGTGCGCATCTTGGCGCAACCGAATTCACGAAGTGAAGATCCGAGAGAGAGTTTGCCCCTTCTACATCGCCTCTACATCGTATCTAATAAACTTCGCGGAGAGCCTTAGCAGATTGACCTCGGGATTATTCTCCGACGCCAGCGGGACTTTACTTGACGAATATCCGAGCCAATCCGCGGCTTGATAATCGCGTTTCTTCAAAATTTGCATTTTAGACGGCGCCATTTTCGCGCCGTCTCATCGACGTCGGGTGTGTTGCGCCAAAGGAGATATTTATCTCCCGAAGGCCGAGCAAAGGGGGAGATGTAAAAATAAATTACGGGATGAACTCGTCGGATCGATTTGACGTTACGTTCGCGCGACACGAATGAACTTGAGCCACGTAAGAAAGAGATATGTCTCTGCATAGAAACCGTCGGATTTACTCGCAGCCATTTCCAATCTATACATATACACTGCTTGCTATATCGCTGTGTACCAGCTGTATAAAGGTAATTCCGGGATAAGATAACTATAGCCACTGGCATAGATGATCGCGGAAAGAGATCGCGCTAAAGTACTCGGTAATAATTTCGACGAGCATGAGCTCTGGCAACAATTTCAATCGGCTGTCATGACGTTTTAGTAACTATTCAAGCGTATCACTACTATAGCGGCTACTATTAAAGGAACCGCAAGCGCCGGCCATTTTCATCCTCATATATAAAAGGCTATAAAGATTGCATTTTCCTCCACGATCAGTTGTAACGGTCGATTTCAAGTCAACTTCACGTTACTAAAACTTTATACTAAAATTTTATTTTTCAGGAATAAGAGAGAAAGAGCGAAAGAAATGAATTCAAATTATCAAGAAGTAGGTACATGAAATATAGAGATATTTGGGGGCACATCCTGTATACGCCTTAATACATATTCCAATTCATATTTTCTTTCGCCGTGACTTTTACGCCGTCTGTCTCACGCTTTTTAATACGTCTTGATTTATGTACTTTAACTCTTGGCCCTCGAGGGTTCGTCGTAGGGCCAACATAAATTTCAGGACTTTCCTCGATTAACGTTACACGGGGACATTACACCTCGCCGCAGGTGTGTGGCATCACGAGAGAAGGATAACGGTGCGATTCGAGGATTCCTGGTCCGTGCTGGTCGTCCGCATTATCCGCGGTGCAAGACGGTCATCGACGCGAAAAGAGAAAGTGCAGCCGCCCGTCTCCGGGTGCAAGTCGACGACGACGACGACGACGACGGCGGCGGCGGCGGCGGCGGCGGCTGTCACATGCCGCATCCGCGTGTGCGTGCGACACGTGCATTATGCGCCTTCGCGTCCATCGGACACGTGTCACATGACACGAGCCATGTCGCGGCGTGAGTCGTCGTGGAATGCCGAGAGGATGAGCGGCGGGAACGGGAGAGGGAGAGGAATGTTAAAAAATTACGGACCTTGTTCCTGCTCCCCCTCCCCCTCCCCCTTCCCTCTGCCCCCTTTCTCTCTCGCGACTTGGATCATAACCGAGGAAAATGCGATTACGTACGTTCAATAAAAGCTCGCGGCTAAACGAACGGGAAGAAAAGACGATATCGCGACGTGACGATAATCTCGCGGTAACCGATGTAACCGTTATTTTGCGGGATGTTCGTTGCGGTCGCAACGCGTAAGTAATGCGAACGTTTTAGTATGGGCTATCGTGGAATATCGGGAATAAACTTTTTATCGCGAGAAAAATTTCGAAATCATGTAGCGCTTAAGTAGCGATCGATCGGACAACAGTTGTTTTCAGTTGTGCAAATTGGAGTGATCAAAGTCTAAAAATAACTCTCCTAGATACATTCGATCGATTCTCCTTGCGATTCTACTTTTCGCAAAAGAACTCGCTCTCAAACCGTGTCCGATATCGGTTATACAATACACGGATGCAAGGTGAAAGAGCACGTTCGGATTTTCGGTTGACATCCGAGGAAACGAGCTCATCCCGAGGAAAGAGCGTTCCCCTCGCTCGAATTCAACGCGATCGACGTGGATCGACAGCGACAAGCAGACAAGACAATCATACACCCGAGACAACTTTACTAGTTGTGGGAGGAAGGCAAGAGCAGGAGGGCAGGCGGGAGGTGAAAGGACACGGTGCAGGGCCTGTCTCGAATTACTATTCCCGCGTGTGTTTACCGACGAGCGGAAACGACTTAACGGGCAGGTCGGTCGTCGTGAAAACGACGATACATCCTTCCTGCCTTCCGCTCCATCCTGTTCCCGCGAACATTCTGAATCGTCGTCGCTTGTCCGTTCCACATCGGGGACACACACAGGGCGCCTCAAAAGGAGGCAATTTCGAGAAACGGTAGTAGCATCCCCACGTGAAACTTTCAGACGACTTTTCTTCGATGAAAATTTGATCGGACGCTACAATGCGATTTTTAAATTTTTACCGTAAGGTATCTTGGGAGGAGGATAAGAGTTTCTCATAAAAATTCTATTACATATTTGAGAGCAAAGAGAAGTGAAATTTTACAATCTGTTTGCCTGTCGCCCGACGGAATTTCTTTACTTTTCAACAGTAAAGTAACTTTTAATTAGACGGAATTTTCAGCACAGGGCGTCTAAAACTAAAACTTTGGGGCGCCCTGTATGCGCTCTCGTAACATACATAGATCTCTCCCGGTGCTGCTGTATGCGTGCATTCACGTCTGTGTAGGTACTGTGTGTGCGTGTGTAACCGGTGTACAACGTGGTCCCGCGAGAGGTACCGAATTTAAATTTCAAATTTGGAGCGTGTCGCAGGGTGTGACGGTATGCATAGCGTTGCCCGCCGGCTCTAACTCACTCCACCGATGGTGCGTCTTCGACCCCTCCTCTCCCTCGTCCCTCGTCCTCGCCGCATAGTCTGTGTGTGTATGTGTGTGTAAGCGGCCCTCCCCCCTTTTTCCGAATCTATCTAGCATATATCCCGCGGTTCCTCTTATTCCTTCCATTTATCTATCTATCTTGATTTTTCGTATTATTCAAACGAGAGAGGAATCTCTCTGATCTTATCGATCAGCGAAAGGAGTTTCCCCTTCCCCCCTCGTTTATAAACGCCTCAACTGAAGTGGCATACACGGTATCCCACGGTATCTTTCTTTCCGCGTGTGTTTTCAAGTCAATTTCGAACCTCCACCTTGTTTTAATACGAATTATTTATTTCGATACCTATTTATAAAATGAGCTGATTCGTTCCGGTATACTTGTGTCACATGTCTGATGAAAGTGAATGGAAACCGTGTCACGGAACACAAATTTGCTACTGAATGATTTAACTTCGATTAGGTATGGTGACGCGAGTAATTAGTTATAGCGTCAGATTTCAAACTGTTCGCATAATTTACGACAGCGAAACTGACATAATCGATACAGGCTACAAGATTTCAATGAAATTAAAGTAGATACGATCACACAGCAATCAGCTCTAGGTAGA